GTACCATGAATCATGCAAACACCTATCAATAATAAGCGGTTTTATTATTTATTGTATTTGTGCTGTACTTAGTTACCTGAACAAAAAATCTTTAATTAACATCATTAACTTGGACGAATATAAACATGTTTACATGGTAATGACCGCCAAAATAAAATAATGTAAGCTTAAAGCTAAAACAGCAAACAAATAATAATTCTTGTTCGCACGGGCAATGATACCGTTGTGGGTCTGCTTTTGTAAAAGTGTTTCACCCGATGGAACAATGAATGTCAGCAAAATCTGATTGCTAAGCGCAGCAACATCATTCTTCTACATGATGTGAATTAGTACTTACATTATGCGACATGTTAATAAACACAAAATCGCTTTAAAAGGGGATTTCATAACTTACAATACGCCCCTTGCTTTTAGCAGCCTTGGGGGAGGGGCATTTAAGCGCCCTGCGATGCCAGACGCATCTCTAATCATTATTTTCCACTACAGCCACCTCACGCTCATCACGAACGACGTTTCAGGAACAGGTACTCCTTATATGTTACCGCAATAAGCGTAGTATGGACCATGTGAATAACTTCTCGTCGAACCAGACTTGACAGCAGACTGCATACTAATTACTATTTAGACAACCGGTTTAACAAGCGCTTTTATAAACGGCTAAAGAATGTAAGCCGAGTCTGAAAATATCCTGACTGCGGGCCACGACAGTCAAAACTGTGTGGAACAGAAGCAGCTGACGGTTATTATCTCATGGAGAAGGGGGCTTAATTGTCCGTTTTATCGTCATGACGATACCTTGAGCACGTCATTCAATGATAACCTTGGCGTGGGGATATCCTGCGACACCCATGACCTTAATGTTAAAGGGAAATCTGTTGTCAATATGTGTATAAAGCATTCCGCCCTCGATACAGTAAACTTGCGTATTAAATGAAACGCTGAGTTCAGCGAATATAATGAAGCCGTAACGGCGGGCGACTTTCCTACGATTTTGGACGTTATAAGCCACAGAAAGGTACAAAGGCTACAATGTCCACGTGCATGTTCACAGTCACGCTCCCGGAACTCAAATCTGTCTGTTGACGGGGCATCACAAAACCACAACACCACCACTACATGCCTTTTCTAAATTCTTCCTTTCCCTTCTCGGTTTACGTCTTCACAGCTTTGCGACGAGCTTACAAGTGGCTAACGACTTGACAACGCAGTCAAAGACGA